ATTGACCTCTTGTAATCTCTCCCCAGGCGACGTACAGAACAGCCATTGCCGTTGCTTCCAAGACGCTCAAGAGTGAGAGCAAGTTGGATGATGACTGGTGACTGTGGGTTTCGACTAGTCGACATGAAGATTTCGTGTCCTTGTATGACTTCCAGAATGGCGTAGAAGCCAGCATGAGAAGTCCTCATTGATTGTCGAAACTCTACTTCTCGATCACGAAGTAAGTCATTGAGGCTGAAGTCCATTTCGAATGGCATCTTCCACCGCGCGTCATGATAACGAAGGTTTTCTAGGATTTCCAAGAGATCCTCAGTATCGTCCACCTCATTGAACAGGAGATCGGTCAAGAAAGCCATCTCGTCATCATCATCAAAGAGTATGTCTCCAAATGTTGGGATAATATGTTCACCAAGCATCTCTTCTTCAATCATTTGATCATCTTCATCTTCTTGGGCTATTTGAAGAAGCTCTTCGACAGTTCTGAGAGTGTTTTTCCTTTCTGACGTTCGAACCATTTGAAAATTTACTTTTGATTGGTTTTTGAGAACTTTAGAAAGATCGGGTGGGTATGGATTGGAGGTGATTGGCTTGGTCAACAAGCACTATACCATTACAAGCCTGAGTTATAAAAAGCTCGGGTATCAAATCGGTCATGTTTCTTTTTACAACCGTGATTATCCAACATGCTCAATTTTTATAAACGGGCAAGTTTAAAATTTTATGGAGTTGTATAAAACTTGGTCGAATTTTTAGGAAAACGTATAAAAAATTTCAACTTGAAACCCCTTAATGTTGTTGGGGTGATTATGTGTGCAAAAAATACGTGCATCAGATGATATTTTCTAAAGTTTTGTAAAACTTGTGCACACCGCACTTTCATGTCAATTTGCACACATAATCACTCCTTTGAAGAATCTGATTACTGAACTTGATCGCTAGGTTTGTTATTGAAGTTTGTCCAATCAACAGCTTTTTTGAACAGAGCATGGACGCGTCGTTTAGCTTAACAAAAGCCCTCTCTGCACGGCCGCGTCCGCGGGGAACGAGTCGTGGACTCCTCAGCCAAATTGACATGATATCCATTCCGTAAACATTTTCCGACAAAACTGTTCGGTATACTGTTTCTTAATGATGTATCGTCATTCATTTGACTTGGAAAATTAACCTCTTATGATGACGTATAGGCGTGATGAGGGAGGATTTGAGAACTCTCGTCTTCCCGTTACATCACCCTCATACCATTCCCGTTTTCGATGTCCCAGGAAGTACGGTTAGTTCAACTTCAAGTTCAACCGAGTTGGTAATCTCTTTTTGTCGTTTGTTCAAACTTTCATGAAGGCTTTAGACAAGAATCTACATATATTCTAGGAATATTCAATTTTCAGTTTTGAGCTTCATCCATCTTCCTGTTATTATCGATCATCAATCTTTTCCTACATGATGCCTTCTATACGTTCTTCAAACCGTAACTCAGTCTCAGACATGAGCTTAACAGGTTCCAACACTTCATCACAAAGATCAAATAACCCAGCCTTACTACGACTCTACAGCTATGGATCTCAGAAATTAAATCAGATTGCTGGTGTAAGAGTGATGAAAGAATTTCTCAATTACAGAATCAAAACCGAACTTACACCTTTCTTTCTTTATAGCATCTTACACCACAAATCGGTCAAAAAACTTCAAACGAATCTCAATACTACATTCCTTCTCCAATTTCATCTCCAACTATTCCATCTGGATTCAAAACCTTTGAAACTTATCCTGAAAACTTTGATAACCACAAACCAAAGTCAAATCAATTACCATTACCTAAACTCTTAAGTAGATCAACATCTAAAGTGAAAAAAGTTTTACAAGACTTTCAACACAAGAATCCACCTTCCAAAAAACCTACAGATCGTTCATCTTTTCATCAAACCTCAAGTAAAACACACTCAACTGTTCCTCAATCAAATCAAGTTAACAGAAATACAAATATAAATAAAGAAGATCAAAGTGATGAAACACCAAAACTTACTTATAAGAAAGGTTTAATGAAATTCGATCAAAAGGAATTTATAGAACAAAAAGCAAAAGCAAAAGAAACATTAGAATTAGATGAAGATTTAAGATTATTTGAAATCTCTGTTACTCAAATCAAAAGACAAAGAGAAGAATCAGAACATAAAGAATTAACCAGAAAAACTGAATCCAAAAATCAAACAACTACAACATCTTCATCTTTTGAAGTTCCTACACAATCTTACTTGAAAGTCAATTCATTTCAAGCTTTTCAAACTCATTCAAAACGGTCTAGTAGCATAAACCCTCCAAGAAACGAAATCTCTGAACCTTTAGTTCTAGAAATCAATAACAATACACAAGAGGATAGCGATGAAGAAGAAGAAGAAGAAGGATTTTCTCTCTATAAAGTCACTACTGAACAATATCAATATGAACTTAAAGAGAAAGTTATTTTACCACAATGGCCAACTCACCTTTAATAATGAGAATAATTTCTTTCAAACGATTTTAAATTATTTACATGTTCATTTAACTATTCGCATTTCATTTTGATTAACATATTAAACTTTTTCTTTCTACATATTTTCAAAATGTTCATTACTTTCACTTTCTTTCTCCTTGAGGACTTGTCTTTAGAAATTGATAAATATAAGATTATTATTACGATTCTACCCATAGATTTTCAAAGATCAAGTGTAAAAGAATCTAATTTGACACTCTTTCAATGCTGTACATACATATCAAGGATGTCTTCAAAGTTCTATTCTTAGTTGGAATGATCTTCTCTACAAGAACCATGAATGGATTTGAAACGTCTTTTATATATCATCAAGATAGCCATCACTTTGAGTTTCTTTTACGTTTTCCCTTGATGGATTCTCTTTTTAGAGATCAACAGACTTTGAACTCTTGCCACAATCTTACCGATCCGTTTTTATCTACATAGCGAGTGTAAAGGTTTTTGAATTCGAGAGTCTTTGGATCGCAGTCTATATCTTCAAAGTTCTATGTAAGTTTTGAGTGGTAAGACTTTGGCTTGACCTGATCAAACTTTTCTTCAAGAAAAAGTCTGGAATGTAATCCCCTTAACATCTCTCAAGAAATTGATGATAATCTTGAGCTAAAACTTGACCGCTGATCAGACAGACTCTGAAAGTCAGATCCATTAACAAAAAGACTAATCTCAAACAAATGTTTAAATAAAAAAACGAATGAAGTTCTTTAAATTGATAATACTAAAACATTTCAAGAATTACAATCAAATGATTTTCAAAAAAAATAAACACATATCACAGATATCATTCATCACTCATTGAATTCAATAAAACAACACAAAAGAATCATCAAACAATCAATCATCAAGTTTCGTATAAGATAATTTACATCATTAATTCATATATGATATACAAACAAAAGATGATCATGATAAAAAAGGTAAGAAAAGTAAATAAATTCAATCAAGTTATAAACTAGAAAAAAAAAGGAAACCCTCCCCCAAAAAAAAAGGATGAAAAAAAAAAGAATGTAAGAAGAAAGATGTTCAAAGTGATTTAGAAAAACGGATTTTCTATTAGGATTCCTTTGGCCATTTTGGAAAATGAAAAGCTTCTTCGTATTCAAGAGAATGACGATCAGAAACAGTACAAAATGAAGACCGATCATCATCATCATCATCATTGTAGTCTTCAATTTGATTATCAAGTATAGGGTCTTGAGAAGTAGAAGAAGTAGAAGAAGAATTAATTTGAAGATCTTGAGATGAAATTGATGAGAATTGATTCAAAGAAGCTTGTAGAGTGATTTCCAAGACGTCTAGTGATAATGAATCATCAGCTCCTCTTGGTTTAGGAGGTTCAAGAAAAGAAAAACTTGAATAAGATTGAGCTCTAAACTTATGTTTAGTTGATGATTTCCTATCAAATGTCTTTCGTTTGATGATTGATGATGAGCTTTCAGTTTCAGTACGTTGATGAGAGATTCCTTTATTTAATTCGACTTTTGTTTTACTCATTAAACCTAATCCATCAGATATCGAACCACGACGGCTTTCAGTAAAACCAAAAAGATAACTTGTTTTTGTTGTTGTTTGATGATCATCTTGAATTGGCATACTATAAAGTTCATGAAGCAAATTAGGATGATGAATAGTAGGAAATTGACTATCGATTGAAGTTTTAGGTCTAGAGATTGTAGAACTTGAAATCAGATTTGATGAAGAATGATTACAATCAACTGTTTTTCTTTTTTCTACTTTTGATGATTTGTTACGTAAGAAATTCGAAATCGATAATGAAGATTGTGATGATTTCTTTAATCTTTCAAATTGTAATCTAAATGCAGTAAGTGGAATCTTTTCAATTCCAGCAGATACAATCGATTGATGATTTTCTAATTCAGGAACAGTCACTTTAAGATGCTAAAATAATACCATCAAAATCTCATCAGTATACTTATATTCTTTGAATTCTAATAGATAATACTAACTTTAGGTTTGTGTCGTCTAGAAGCAACCGAACCAATTGAAGAGTAAATCGAAGTTTTTTCTGAAAGATCTATTGAACCAGTCAATTCTTTAAAACTTGATTGTGAATTTTTACTTGAACAGAGTCGAGGTAAAGAGATCGGAGTGTTCTCTAAAAGGTTTATTGAACCAGTCGTATCCTTTAAGCTTGATCGTGAATTTTTACTAGGACAGAAGCGAGGTAGAGCCATGACTCAATAGACAACTATTTTGAACAATGATTTCTGGGCTGAAGCTATCGTGAGAGATGATGAGGATTTCAGATATATAGATTACCAATTCGATAATCAAAAGACGGTTGAAGAAGCGTTAAAGGGGGATATGAAGCAAAGACTTAGATATGAATGAGCTCTTAAAACAATCGCTAGCGTGAATTTGAGAGGTTAAGGTATAGTGTGAAGCAGAGAAGGAGGGAATGAGTGAATGATCGAATGAAGTTATCTTATATACTAACTTTCCTCATACACTACTTAAACCTGTGAGAATTGATTAGGTGAAGTGTTTGTATGGACCATCACTAAGAGGAGAATTAATGTGATACACTTCGAGCGACTTTCTCACCAAGATTGAGAGATGAGAATTTCCATTCCATGATAACATAATCATGTGTAAATCTCATCACCATAGAAGCTCTTCAGACAATTGAGAGAAAAATCAAATCAGTCTAATTCATACAACATGATCTCTAGATGGACCCCGTTTTGAGGGGTCCATACTCTCAAACACCATAGTAAACGGGCGGACTGTGAAGAATGAATTAAAACCATCAAGGAAGATTGGATACATTAAAGTCTCATTTATGGTTGAAAGAAGAATAATTTATAGATTGTAGTTCGGAGTACAGTAAGGCCATCGCGTGATCATCGCAGTAGCTGATCAAAGGAATTTGCTTATCATTTGATTCCTTAAAATTCTCACTTGAGCCTTACGAACTTACAAACTTGCGGCTATCGAAGCTCGTCACACTCACGACTCACGACTCACAGTCACCACTACAATTCTAGATTCTAGCCTGCGAGATGAATTCATTGGTCTGAGTAAAACCTAAATGTGATGCGATGTGAAAGATCTGTGACTGTGAATGAAGATTCTCATTCTCTTGGTTGTTTAATTTCCTTTGGCCAATGCGAGCCTCTTATTCTCAATACATACCTCACTTGCTCAAACCCCACGCGTCATGAAACTCTTCATGAGTGGTAGATGATACTCGATACTCACTCATGTGAGGGGAAGAGTTCGGTTTATTAAACATATGTAAACTTGTCGAGTCTTGGTTGGTTGAAGCTCATCGAGTTTGAATGCTACCTGAAGAGGCCTGCCGCCTGAAGTTGCCTTTACCTCGGAAGTATCATTCCGAGGCGCGGCACTGGATAATTCCTCGGAACGACTCCTTCAAGGCCTACATAGAATTTGCCACAATTTATAAAAAAATTCAAGACATCCTTGGATTCCAAGATCTGAAAAAATCGTGGAGGCAGTACATATGCATTAGCAGGAAGAATCAACTTGTTGGCAAAGAATCTCAGATAAACTTGAACTTCACTCTAAACTTGTCTAGGTCTCTTTTAAAGCTCGACACAAGGCAGAAGGACCTAATCTTTATTTTTTAAAGAAAAATCAACCAAAAACCAAGCATATGAATTTCTCAATAAAACCAAAAAAAAAATCAAACTTTCTTTTTTCCTTTTTAAAATAATAATCAATAAAACATACAAAGAAAAAAGAAAATTGACCATTAAAGACTTTAAATATATAAAGATATATATATATACTGTATAAGAATAGACTACTTATTCCAACACATCAAAGACAGATAAATAAATTACAAAAGAAAAAACGTAAAACCAAGACATTTTTTTTCAATTTTCTAACCAAAAAAGAAATCAATATAAAGAAAGATTAATCCAAAAAAAGATAAAACACAAAGCTTATATATATATGTATGTGTTTTCATTTCTTTACTGCTCTACGAGCTCTACGTTTAATTTCAGCTAGACTGATTTCAGATCTATTATCATCATCTTCATCATCTTCTTCTTCTTCTTGATCATCACTTCTTTGAACCTCTTTTCCTTTCGCTTTCGCTTTCCCATTCCCATTCCCAACCCTCCGTTTTTTACTACCTTCACTACCTTCATTTCCTTCTTCCTCAACATTCTTATCAATCCTTTTCCTCTTAGAATGAGGTATCAGAACCGAAACCAGTGAAGATCCACGTTTTGATTGATTTTGTTTAGAAGTAGTAGAAGAAGCAAGATTGATTGAATTAGAATTTAAAGGTGAATGATTTGGAATCAAAACACATTCAAGTTGACTACTTCTACTTCTACTTCTTAAATTTTCTTCATGATTCGTGGTCATTCCTCCATTAGACGATTCACTTTCTAAAATCTCATTCGTTCTTCCTTTTGCTTTCTGAGTAGATCCTTTTGATGATTTCATCGTTTGTTTTTCACTTTGACTCGTCACTTTCTTAGCTGCCTCTGACCTTTTACCTTGACTTTGATGTTCCAATTGTATAGGCTCTTCTTCTTCTTCCACTTCTTCTTCATCTGAAGGAATATCATCAGACACTGCCCTTGCTTTTCCTTTTGCAATCGCTGAAGGTCCGGAAGTCTTCTTAGTGCCGATGTCTGGATGAGCATCCGAGCCTTCTTCAGACCCATCTTGAATTTCTGATTGCAGTCTCTCTTGTGCTCCTTCCCCGCCTCCTTCTTGCTCTGCGCCAGGCCCAACGTTCATCGCCTCTTCATTAACCCCAACAGGCTCATCTTCCTCTTCGATAGCCTCAGTCCCATTCTTATCCGCTTTCCGGTTCAACGTAAGTTTCGCCGCACGTTTAATACCTAATGAATTACCCACATCCATATCAGAGTCATTTCCAAAAACAAAATCGGAATTCAAAACAGGTCAAGTATTACTCACTTGGATCTTTGGCCATGATTGAAATCAATCGTTTGATATAAGTACGATAAGGATCCCAAGATTTAGAAGTAGCCGGAATTTCAATTCGATCCTTTTCCACAGAAAGATCAATCAAAGATTTACTATCGGAAAAAGTAAAATTCAAAACCATCAATCCAAAATTAAATTTGAGAACGAAAACCCTCCTGAAAAAAAAAATCACTTACATTTTTAATGCAGATCTACCATCCATACCAATAAGAAGTGAAACCAAACCTTTAAAAAAGATTGCAATCTTATCTAATTCATTCAGATCATTTTTTTGAAATTCAATAATTTTGTTGAAAACCCATTCAATTAATTCTTGATGTAAAGTTATATAAGATTTCGAATTTAAAATCGATTTAATACTTAATCTGGCTCCTCTAATCACAATTGTAGAACCCAATAATTTGCAAACTTTTAAAAATTGTTCTTCAGAATCGATTTCTTCATTTAAAAAAAGTTTAAATGACTTTTGATTATTTTTTTTGAAGACAAAAATGATCATCATTAACAAATTTTTACAAAAACCAAACTTAAATTCCAAAAGCAAAAACTACTTACCTCTTTCAAACTTTCTGAAACAGTTTTAGCCAAGCCTTCTTTTTTCCTTTCAAATTGAATTTCTTTTTCATTTCCAAAACAAAATCCTTTTAAAGATCCCATTAAAATCTCAATACTTAAATCAAATACATCACCAAATCGATTAAAGTTTGATAAAATTAAATTCGAATGTTCAAATTCAATGATACCACAACATATCGATTTAGTAAAAGTCGTGATTAACAATTCGAATTCTTCTTGATTTTTGATTTCTTTAAAACTTGTGGTTCGATCTATATATATATATATAAAAATAAGATCAGTTTAAAATCTTTGAAATTCAAATTCTCCCCCCACAAAAAAAATCACTTACACATTCTTTGACGAGCTAATTGAGACAATTTCTTTTCTTTTTCCTTACCTTTACCTTTTTTCCCACCTACATTCACTTCCTCTTCCTCTTCCTCTTCTTCCTCTTCTCCATCTAAATCGATTCTCATCCTTCGTTTTTCGTATTCTTTCTCCTTCATTTCATTCCCAAACCTTTCAATCTCAGCTGCAATGAATCCAGCACAACGAAATTGAGTTTGTTGATCGCAATCAATCCTTAATTGATCCGGCATTGAAGTACCATAAGAAATCAAATAAATATTTAACATGTGAATAAAAGCCTATGAATAAGAATCACCAAGATCAGTAAGGATAAAAACGATCAAGCAATCAGTGCTTAATCAAGACACGAAAAGAAAAGATGATATTCAAAAACTCAACTGCTCTCTTAATATTATCACAAGCAATACATTCAGGATCAATAGCAAATTCCTTCATCAAATCCAAAAACCTATCTCTAAAGTTTGAAACCTTATCAACCAATCCTTTCAGTTCAACTTCTTTTTTCTTTTTCTCAGTTTCTTCTTCGATTCCTAAACCTTCATTGATCATTCTACTTGAATTTGCACAACTCCACATGAAATTTAATTGTAAAATTTCAATAGCTACTTCTACCATCTAGTTCGCAAGAAAATCAATAAGCCTTTTGATGATCGTAAAGAGAAAAAAGAGTTTCAGATGAAAGTGAATGGTAAACTTTACCTTTGTTTCTTCTGGATAATTTAATCGACCACGATTAGCTAACCCGAAGATAATATCAACAACGACCTGTTTCTTAACATACCCATCTACCAACATTTGATCACCGTCATCATCTTCTTCATCATTATTGATACCAAGTAAAAAACCAGAAAGGTCTCTAGTTCTAAAAAAATAAAAAACCTTAATCAATGCAAAATAAAACCGATCGATTTCATCAAGTTCGAAACCACAAGTTTCTAAATCGATCATTCTATCTCCATCATCTTCTTTAAAAGCTAAATTAATTAAATTCTTAAATAATGATTTATTTAAAGTTTCGATTTTTTTCTGATTGATATGTGATAATGATTTAGAATAATTTAATAAATGATTTATGGTAGATGAGATTATACTGATTGTTCTTTGAACGTTTTGTTTAAGATATTCATTAATCAAAATATCCCAAAGGTTTTCATATGCCTAAGAAAAAACAAAACACACAAACAAAAGATCTATCAATGAAAAGACGAAAAGGAAATCAGAAGATCAAAGGTAAAAAAAAAGTTTCATACTTACAGATACCATTCGAAGTTCAAGATAAAGTCCTAAAGATAAAAGTTTAGGTATTCTTAAAATCTCAAACAATTTGATGGGATCATGACAATATTTAATATAAAACTTGGGTAAAACTTGGATCATCACTTTACTAATTTCAATCTTATTAGAATTTTCAATTAATTCGATTCCATCAATTTCTACATCATCTCCTTCACTTTCTTCTTCTTCTTCTTCATCTTCTTCAGTGGTGATTCCTTCTTTTTGTTTTTGTTTTTGTTTCAATTTTCGTTTTTTCTTTTTCAATTTGTCTTTTTTAATCGAACTTTCTTCTTCTGTAAGTAATTCAGTCGATTGACTTAGAGTAACTAGAAAGATTTCAAGTAAAACGTTTTCTTCATTTTCCGTTAATTTACATCCTTCTTCAACTGATTCAAATTCTTCTTCATCTTCCTCTTCTTCATCAGTCCTCATCAATGATCCACGTCGATTTTTGTTTGATTTTGAAGTTCTACCATTCTTGGTTGTGTTTGTTATAACAGTAGAATGGTCTAATAACAAATAATCCGACATTGATTGCCAATCACGTATAACTTCTATTTCATCCCATAAACTTTCAATCGCTAATGCGATCCTACTCTTTTCAGGGAATTCCGATAACGATCCAATACCCATCATCCCTTCGTTCCTCCCTTCATCATCTGTAGCTTCTTCTTCCTCTTCGTCTTCTTCGGGTTCGGTTTGATTATTTGAACTTAAATCATCTTCTCGATCTTTACGTTCTTTAACCGAAATATTCCCATCTTTTCCAAATTTAATTAACAGAGAAGCCAAACATTTCAATTTCAAACCTTTTTCAACCTGATCACTTTCCATACTACTACCAACATCATTACTTGCTTTTGATTTTTTTGGGTATCTTAAACTATTAGTTCCGATTTTAATTCGTTTAGAATCATAAACTTCATTTAAAAAGTTTTTGAAAAATTTACTAATCGATTTCCTGACTCGATTTTCTTGATCAAAAATTAATTTCATTAATTGATTTCTCTGTAAACTTTCTAAAACTCCTCCATGTGAATCTACAATTGTTAAGATTTCAATTGCTAAACATCTTGTATTGATTTCAGGTTCTCCTATTGCAATCTCTAAAAATCTTGATTTAAATCGGGTAGTGAAATGTTGCATTGGTCCAAGATTATCTTCTTTTGAGTATAAATTTTTTAAAGCTTTCATGGCTTCGAATCTAGCTTCTTTGTTCTGATCCAAAACACAAAAAAACAGGTTTCAGAATCAAAGAAAACAGAATGATAGGATAGAAGGATATGAAAGATCCTTACAGTATCAGTCAAGACCCAACCCAAATATCGTAAATAATGACCACCCAAGAAATGGTCAGGAAGTTGATTCATCCACTGCCCTAGAGCTTGAACGCATTCGATTCGGATCTTGGGATCTGAATCTCGATATCGATGAACAAAAACCCTATAAGAGAATCAACTTATCAGCCTCTTTCTTCTTCTTCTGCAACAGAAACCTAACTAACCCATCAAAGAAATCATTAATATGATTCTCAAGACTCTCTTTCTGATCACCAACTAAACTTTTCCTCTTTTCCCATTCATTTAATCTTTCATCACTTGTAGATCGATTATTATTATGACTTTTACTTTTAAGATCGGTGACTTTTTTATTTAATTGATTGAATTCAATACTCACTTGAATCAAAATATCAATAAATGAACTCATCAAACCAAACAAACAAACAAAAGTAGAAGTATGTCTAATAGATCTTAAAGAAGAAGTGGTCATACTAACTAAATAAGTTTGTAATGAATTCATTAAATCGGTTTGATATAAAATTAAATTTTGATGTGATAAATTGATTAAAGTTTTAAAGAAATTGATTAAATTCTTTTCAAAGTTTTTTTTCGTGGTAAGTTTAAGTTTTAATGATTTATTGATTTTTGAGTTAATGAGAGGATACGCATGATTAGGTACCTAGTTTGATCGGATAAGGCGTGTTGTGATTGGTTCGTAAGATAAAAAAACGCGTACTTTTGTTCATCAGATTCGGTTTGACAGATGTTAGAAAAGTTTTTTCTTTTCAAATCATCAGGGAAATGAGAGCTTTAAAGAATTTGGTGTCTTACTAACCTTTTTGAATTCTTCTTGAATATCATCTAATCTTTCAGGAACTGCATCTAGATCTAAGGCTTCATCTTTATCAATACTATTATTACAACCACAACACTATTTCACCCAAAAAGACAAATGTTTAACTTTAATAATCAGGGTAAGCTTATTGAGGGCAAAAATTGACTAACTCTTAGAATACAATTAATCATAAGCGCGATTGCTTCCGCTCGAGCTTCTTCGTTTGAATCGGTTTCATTTGAATCTTTACCTTTATACATCTCGATCCAATCTTCCAAAGTAGGTTCGATAGCCGAGCTACCTTTCTGGATCGAATCTGATTGAATGGTTTTAAAACAATGTTTAATAGATTTTCAAGAGAATGAGCTAAAAAAAGGACAAAGACTAACTAAAGAGGTCATTATCTTGTGAAATGATATAATCAGATTTTACATGGTTTCCTAACTCTCTATCACTCCTAACACCTTCATCAAGATCATGATCATTTTCTTGAGCTTGATTTCGTTTTGGGTTTTGATTAGTCGTTGATTTGGCTTTAGGTTTCTTAATTGGAGTTTTACGCGTTCGAACTGGTTTTTTAGATCCGATGACTTTTTTCGATTTCTTTCGATGATGATCTGATGAAGGTGAAGAAGGTATGTTTTCTTCTTCTTCTTCATCTGAATCTGGATTTGATACTGGTTGAATTTGAATTGGTTTTTTGACTCGCGATGAACGTCTTCTTGGACTTGATTGGTTTTGATTTGGCGAATCAGCTTGAAAAGAAAGTTATCATTAGTTTTTCTTTTGGATAGATTCTGTTAATGATGAAAATGAGAAATCGAAAACTCACGATTTGATTGTAAACTTGAAGTTGGATTCCTTGCTGTTTTCTGTTTTGCCATGATTTGTCTGTCTGACTGTTTCTTTCTTTCTTTCGTTCTTTATCTGAATAGTTTTTTGAATGTAGTCTTTGAATTGAAATTGATCGACCAAAGTGAAATCAAAAAAATACATCTACACCGTGTCTCAAATGTACCGAGCCATGTCACGTGACTTTCATTCCCCTTTCAATTTCTCAATCATCAATCACTCCACAAAGGCTGATCAAACTGAACAAAATATAACTCAAAGGGAATGCTCAGACTTATCTTCAATGATTAACAAAGGAATAGGTTATGATCAAATTCCACTTAAATTAAATACCCAAAAGTCCTCTAGACCCAAGCTCAACCTTTCAAGTTTCAACCAAATCACTTGATCAAAGAACTTTGCGAAAATAGGATGTACATAGTATTATGATTTAGCGTGTTTCTCATGAATCTTGAATAAAGGATTTAAATTTTCTTGCATGGTAGGATGCTAAAACTTGGCATGAGAATTCAGTTGCTTTTTGCCAATGTGCAGATTCAGAACATGAGAAGTCTGGGGTTTGTATTGCATTTCTAGGCTGGAAGTATATACATCATACTTTTCATACACACTTGACAATACGAGTAAGGTCTTGGTTCTCAAGTTTTGAAAGGAGGGTGCGGTTGGGGATTTAAATGAAACCACTCAAAAACACATTCTTATTGAAAAATTATTTGATAAGTTGAGGTAGAATGACTCAGACTAGGTGCATAGCTGATTCTTGGTACTACTAACCTTCTAGATACCAATGTCACAACTTACCAAGATGAGAAATAAAATCTGACTCACACTCTCAGGTATTCCTTACGGAGGCTCATTTGTATCTCTATCATTAATAAAATTAGCGCTTCGGAAGCATTTCAGAATTTAAATATTATAACAGATATCATTATTTTTTTCTTGATAAGGATCGCACATACCCTGTTCAATATGATAGAAAACAATTTTATAAGATATGAATAAGGACTAGAAAAAAATCATTCTAAGAAAGGTAAGGAGCACGACGACAAATGGGACATAAGAAAAGAAGTGTATGTCCCGCTAACATAGTTAAACATTTTTCATGAATCAAATGAGAAGAATAACAAGGAAGTCGAATATACCTTTGACCATGATTAAAACCATCAAAACAAATTGGACAATCTCTTGATTCTTCTTCTGATTCAAATAAATTTTGAATAAGATGAGAAGATTCGGTTAGAAGACTTACATAAATATAGAGACTGAACCATCGAGTAGATCCTCGGTCAGGGAGATATACAACTGGTGGAAGGTTTAGATTGAATTCGAGGAAAATCGGTCGGAGGGTTTGAAGATCACTGGCTCTGCTTTCTGCTGAGGTACGCCAAACTTCAGTATCGCTCTCGTCCCATGTATCACGTCTTTCAATGTCTAACATAGAAGCCTCTGCATCACAGATGTTGAGGAGGGTAGAAGTTAATAGTCGTTCTTGGACGCCCTCGGTAGGTCTCCCGTCAAGTTCGATTTGAATGGATTGAATTTTGTTCAATAGGTCCGAGTGAGACATGGTAGTGGTGGTCATTGTCGAGTTTAGAAGAGTGAACAGCGTGAAGATTAAATTGTTAAAGAATTGAATGTAAAGATCAAGGGCTGATTATGATTTTTTGAGCTCAAGAGGATTGGTTTTATTATGAAAGTTGATGAGGATTGAGTGTGAGGGGACAGGAAGAGACGTCCTTTGCGTAGTTTTTATATCAAAATACGGATGCCTTCTCAGCACCTAGAATTCAGCCCTATACTCAAGTGCTGATATCTCTCTCACATTACGCGGTGTATCCCTTTCGATGAAAAGCTCGACTTTGTACAATTTCAAGATTGTTTGGCATTGAAGACAATGCTGACTTCATTCAAGATATTCAGGACACTCGACTATCAAAGTGAAATGTTAGGCATTTATATCTGATCTGCTTCCTCTACAAATCTCAATCCATCATTTCGAGCTTCTAGAATTTGTGTTTTAACTGGTAATTTTAAAGCTCTGCAGAGAAATAAATATCACTCCTGTTGATAGGCGATTGTCTCCGTTAACTGGAAAGCCCAACAAAGCATCTAACTGGTTCATCTTTTGTAGATGCGGTATAGAAGTCGTATGAGCGTGTTAGCGGTGCAGAGATGAGAGTACCAGAGTGTGGCAGGCCCACGATTCATTATCTAAAAGCACGCGAGTAAAATTGTAGGATGTCGACGAGCACCAGGGAACATAACGCGATTTTTTGGGGGCAGGGAGACCGGAAATCGCGATGCATTGGGAAAAATAAATAAAATGTGTGTGAAAAACCGGAGGAAACGTTTCTTGCCAAGGTTCAGAATGGCACGGAAGTTGAAAATCACGCTCTCCAGAATCCAGCGTTGAAAGGCCGATATCAGATAGGACAATTTTAATGGATGCTTCTTCAGATGACTCAACCGGTCTTTGAGCAACGTGATATCGCCTAGGAAGCCAGACTCACAAAAAAGTAGAGACTGGGCCCAATCAAATATATTATACACGAACAATTTTTTTACTTTTCTTTAGCATTGAAAACCCAGTTTGCCAATATGCACAGAATTTCAAGATGAATGAAATAGAATATCTTCTATGGAGTGGATATCGGACCCTGGTTACTACCACCAATACCACTATCGATTGGCACGGTGCAATTTGTACATGCTGTTGAGGATGACAAGAAAGGTTTACCGAGTGAGCAAACAATATATGACGAATATGATGAAAAATAAAGGATACTGACTGATGTAGGGGACATTTGTGGAATTATAAGGGCAGTCATAGTGATTACCCCCCGAGTTCGTGCATCCTATGAAGTCAAGATAAAACTTATCAAGTAGATCCTAACACTCGATAGCAGAAGACAAAAGGTTGACTCACCGTAGTGACCAGGACCTCCAAGATCGTAACTCGCACATTGTTGACTACTCACGCCAGGGATATCTCGGAATGTGCAGCCATCCATTCGTACCCATTGATGACCTATATATTTCAGAACAATATGAGGAACAAGAGCTTAGGAGCAGTCGCTCCAAAAATCTGAATGTCAGGAAGGTAGCAGTTTACCGTCTCTTCCGCAGCTGATCGTTGTGCAATTCCATCGCGCGTTATCCTTGTCGTTGCAAGCTTTTGGAAAGTAAAGAAAGATTTAGGTTTCATATTTGAAAGAAGTGTGAAGGAATACACTTACCCGACTCTGTTGGAGGCGATTGAGGACTATATGCGTTTATACATTCAACTGTCTTTGGCTGAATGAAAGAAGGTTGTGTCATACATATAGCAATTAGTAGAACAACAAGCTTTTGAGGATATTGGAAGGTAGACATGAAGAAATGTGAGCTTGAAATCTAAAAAGAGTTTGAAAGGATTTGGGATTGGAACTGGACTCGAGGTTAACTGTGCTAGAGCTTAAATACGAAATTCAGAGTGTAGAGCCTTGGAGACGGCCGTGGGGCAGCTCACTGTGGCACTGAAGCGTAAGAGATTGGGCGGAGTCTCATTCTTGGAAACACCTGCCCACGCTGCATCTCAAGTTGAGCCGGTATGTACACATACAAACTGCTCGGCAGAGAAGTTGAGCCACATTCGAGGTGAATGGTGCAGGTCACCACCTCGCGACACCTTGCGACCCAAGTTGTATCTTTGACTATGTGCTGATCGCGGATAGCGTATGCGGGTGCTTCTATCTGTCCCCAAGGCATTCACGAATAGTATGATCAAGATTGTTACGAGAAACGATTGAGTATGAGTGAAAATGTGAAAAGAGAAGTCTTGAAAACAGGAAGTCCGAACCGACTCAGGTATGTTGAACCAAAAGGACAAGTTGAAAAAAGTGGTCTTCTACACCATTCTCTTCGTTGTCAAATGAGACCTCACTCGCTTTATTTGGGTGCTGATGAGGTCCACACGATAGGCACAAATGATCAAATATCAAGGAGGATTCTTTCTCTGGTTTTTATTTTCATTCAAAGTAATGAAAGCACAACCTTGGATGCGGAAGGAAAAAGTCACCAAAACATAAATCGAAACATGAAAAGATGCTTGTCCATTCTCTAGGAGAGATCTACCAGGTTGTCAATATACAGGTTCAGGCTAAATTGGTATGACTATCGTCCACCAGACATGATTGGTCCATCAATGGGGACTCCCGTACCACCACCCGATGTTGGAGGCTCAGGCTTTGGTGGGACAGGTGGGACACAGGCTTTACACGCTTTAGAGTACATAAAAAGAAGGCACACAGGTTTGGTAATTAATACATGATTTAAAGCTAATGAAGGATATAGATTGCTTACTGAGGAAGGGAACATTCGAGGATGTATAAGGGCATTCATAAACTCTGCCCCCCGAGTTCCTGCATCCTATGATTGGAGATAAAATCATAAAACTTATTTGTAAGTAGATCTCAACTTTCAATAGTAAAAGAGAAAAGGAAGGCTCACCGTATACACCAGGGGCTGCAACACCGTAACTCGCGCATTGTTGACTACTCGTGCCAGGAACCCGGCCAAGTAGGCAACCATCCATTGGTACCCATTGATGTCCTATATAAATCACATTTGAGCCGCTTCAGTGAACTCTAAA